TTGCGAGTGTTATAAGGGTCCTGAGAATGGGTTATCGTCTTGATGGCTGCGCATGATGGGGCGTGTCGTCACAGCTGCGTTTACTGCGCCGCCACCCCTTCTCCACCAGTTGTTGAAATAGGTAGCGACAAGAGCGGCCCTCGGTCGGGAAGCGAGTGATACAGACGGTGAAACAGTTTTGACGCTTGCCGTAGGAGAAGAGGGACTTGGCCCTGCGCCAAACGCATCCGCGCTGACACGCCTCGCCATCTGGTGAATAAGGCCTTACAAGCCCGTTTCGGATTCATTGTGGCGATGTACACATACCATTAAACTAGTGGTTATCGCATTGAGCGAAGTAGCGATTTTTTGTGCAAGATGGCATCTAACGATGTTTGATATTTGATTTACATCGTAAGATTTTGATATCTCCTGATTAATCAATGAGGTTTGGCCTGCATCTGCTCCATTTTCTCCGCCTCGTTAACCACGCGAATGCCTTCCCATCAAGTGGCGACCACCTCTATCAAGTAACGAACCAAACCGGCTCGTCCATAAGTAAAAAATGTAGTAACCTGTGAAATAATGCACATTCCACAGCTCCTTTAGTGTAATGGAGAAATTGTGCCGGTTTTTAGAAATATTTTTCGTGATATTACGACATGGCAACCACATGTGATCGAATTACACACCACAGTAGTGTAACTGCTCTGTGAAACTATAAAGAACATTTATCAAACAATGAGAATCCGCCTGAAATTTTTGTTTCTCCAGGGCCATACATTCAATTCTTATGATCGTCATTGTATATATATAATTGTTTGCCTTCCGGCCTGTACCGCAGTTTGTCGTGAGAACGCCCCCCCCCCCCTCACTCTAGACTGAAAACACGGCGTGTATGAAGCCTGTTGCGTCGCGACCTGAAGTCCAAACTTGATATATTGGATGCCCTAGTTTACTCAGTGAGCTGTCCACGATTCTTTTTATGGGAGAAGGTGGGAAGAAGGGCTGTCAAACGCGATCTCTGGATCGAATTCCGTGTAAGCTAAGCAAGATCTTTGTCTCCTCAGCAGTGGAATAACCATTGCTTAAAAGCAAAAGGCACGATAATTTGGTACACAGTCTAAAACTAGCAGGGTGCCATATAGGGAGGAAATGGCGAAAAACGAGGTGAAGCGGTCAAAAACATGCGCAGAAAAGCCTTCATTCTTCATGCTTTAGCAAGTAATTTCGAACGAGTTCCCTGCGGGCATCGTGCCAATAACCGCTACGGTAGGTACTTCTGCACCTATGTACTGATATATCCATGTAGCAGCGCGGCCATTTCATATCAATCGTTTTGCTTCATATTTACTTCGCAAATGAAGCAATACGAGCGTCAGATGCGGTCGTCCATTTGTGGGCGGGCGGGCGCGGTGGGCGTCCGGATTGGTATGTTGCAGCTTCGGCTGATCGGCCAGCTTTATAGGGGTACCTACTTTGCAAAAGGCGCTATGCAGCGCTGGAGCAGGGGCGTTGAATTCAGATCTGCCAGCCGTATTAGTCCTATTGGTCCTTAGGGATTTCTAGTGCCAACTACGTTTAAACAAGTGTATAACGTCGGCTCCACCGTCTTGACCTTTGACGGTCCAGATTGAATAATTTTTTGACATCTAGTCATCCTCACCTTCCGCACTTCCTCACCTCCATAGGCAGCATGGCACCGCGAAGGAGAAACTTCCATCCAAAATCACTAGCAATCTGGAGAATCCGCCGCCCCCCAAACGAATTCACGTTAACCTCTCCGAAATCCCCACCCGCCCAGAAAACCCAGCCCACCTTGCCGCCATCGAACAGGGGCCTGCTGATATGAAGGACACCAGTAACGCTACTAATTGTGGATCGAGACAGCGATTTCCTATAAAAGCGACCTGCCATGCTTACAAGCCCACTATTTTTAGATAGTTTCATCACTCTTTATGCCTGGCAATCGTATCTATTTGATGCGAAAGTGTGAAAGTATTGTGCGCCCCAAAGTTTAATGCCACCCCTCCCTAGCTTCTTGTTCGCCTGTTAACTCTCAGCCCTGATTATCTATACCATCTTGCTCACTGCCCTTCTGTACTCTTTCTTGAACGCCTCCATTCGACATACCGTAACTTCGCAGTCAACGCACAAGGTCGCCCGTGGGAGAGCGGGTCAATCTCCCACCGCCGCATTCCCCCAGAGGAGCGAGAGGTGTTATGAAGTGGGTGCTGGATTCGATGCCAGTCGATAAATGTTGACAATACGTACTGTCCTTTTGTGGGTTTCGCATTAAGCTATGCCTTGATCTCCCCCTCTTAATGACCAACCCGCGATTTTATGTTGTGGATAGTGGCGTGCAGTCACAATTCGTAGTCACCCAAATGACTCTCCAAGAAAGAATGACAAGATTAAAGATAAAAGCAAACATCATGAACACCCTAGGTAAGGGCTTGGCAACCTCTGTGGACGAGTTCTCAGAACCTGCCCGTTAGCAAAGTAATATCCTGCAGCTTCTAACGCACTAATCGTTTCTCCACGCCGTTGTCAATAACATCTAACTGTGGAACAAAAGAAAATGTGGTGTAGAAATTGAGCTCGTGACAGAAAATAGCCCTTGAGTTTGGTGTGGGGGACAACTAGGCAGGCTTCAGAATTGCCCCTTGTGAGGGCCACAGCGCCTTCTTTACCTACTGTGAAGCCGCGAAAATGGGGTAGGCCTGGCGAATAAGAACCATACTACTCGTGCAAAGAAGGATCCCTACGAATTGTCTGAGCTTGGGGACTGTCTTTAAAGGCAGTTGGCATGGTAAAGTCCTTAGAAGATAGGTAAAGGTAACTAGATTAATCACGTCCTGACCAGCGATGGCAGTCCGCGCCGCCTAGTAGGCGTTGTGCGTTTTACAAGAAGCACCTTTCACAAGGAGGTGACCTTTATAAGATCCCATTGAGCTACAACATACTAGTCTGAACGCCCACCGCGCCCGCCCGCCACAATAGACGACGCGTACGCGTAGATCAACCGTACCTGATATCGTACTGCTCCATATGTGAAATAAAATAGGAAGCGAAAGGATTGACATGGAGCGGCCGCTGTGCTGCATGCATGTATGGGTACATAATTGCAGCCGGATCTACCGTAGCGATTATTGGCGAGAGCCTAAGGGAAACACGTCCGAAATTGCTTTTTGAATCGTATAGAACGAAGGCTTTTCTTCGAAGGTTTTTGACCGTTTCACTTCTTTTTTTGCCTTTTGCCTCCCCCCCCCTATATAGGCAACTTTAGAGGAGTACCAATTATCGGTGCCAGTATGCCTTTGAAAGTAAACAGCGACAAAGGCGGAATAGATTAAACGTCTTTAAAGTGATGGTCAAGGATTCGATGTTACGTAAGGTGCTTTGAGAATGTGTAGCAAACATTCCCATGGGAATGCTGACGTGTACTTTGGCTGACATGCCGCGCCATATTAGTACGCTTTTTACAGGCGAACCAGTCAATGCTCAGCGGGCTCGATCAGAATACTCTTATGCAGATTCATCAGTTATTCGGAGGTGATGAGGTGAGTTATCACTGTAGTCTTCATTCAAAGAGTCGCATTACAAGTGCACTATCCCAACTTTCAGAGCCGAACTCGTGCTATCTTGGAGCAGTATCAGCAACAACAGCGGAACTATCAGCAGGTAATGGTTGTTGAAGTTTATGTGACTTTTAGCTTTCCATTGTCTGGGAACGATTTTGGAGCTGCTGTGATGTTGAATGTTTTTCTTTTCCTGCGAAGTGCTGCCGTATTTCATTGTTCTTGGGCGCAGATCGGCGACGGGGGTGGGGGCATTTTGCACTTTCGCTGCTTCACCTGTTCTGGTTTACAAGTCTCACTTCGGTGGAACCTGTGAACTGTAGTGAAGCTGGAGGAAGCTCGTCAAGCCATCGTGGTAAAACCTGTCAATTCGAGAAGACGCTGTCTAGATGGGTCGAAACGTCGATGGGAAATAGCAAAAGTGCATGTCCCTCCCCCGTCACCGAACTGTGCCTTGTTTTTTGTATTCTGACCATGAGATTTGAGGTAATTTCCAATATTCAGTATCATCAGCAGCTTGTTCAGCAACAACCTTCAATGGATCAGTTGTACCTGACATATTCACAGTTATCAGAAGCAGGTGCGTAAGGATAATTGTCTCCTTTCCTTCCATCGAAAGACTTTCGTGTATGTGCAAAAAAAGGACAAAAGCAAGAAAAAATAAATCAGCGGTAGTGATTTCTCCTAAAAAAAAGATGTGCTTCAGACCTCAATCGAATTTATCCGACCGTAGATCTAGCGACTCGATGTGTGATAGAATTCGTCCTTCAACACAAGAAGCAAACGGCCACCATACAGATGCGACAGCAGCATGCAGCAATGCTGGTATGTATTGCTATCCGTGCACAGAACTACTTCATGCTATTCTTTTAAACTTCTACCTTTTCGAAATTTCTCCCCCTCCACCACCCACCCCCCCCCCCTTAGCTGCTCTTTCCACATATTCTGTGAAGTCTCGTTTTATCGTAGTGCTTACGGTGGAGGTCCTGTCCAGTTCATCAAAAAGCCGCGTCTCCGGGCATAATTTTAGCTACGGACACGTTTATACATTGCATCTGGAGAAGTAGCTCACCCTAGTGGTAGTGCCCACGTCCACTCCCACGGCTCTTTGGCCAGTTTCTAGTCACACCATAATTAACTGCACCGCTGTGGGAGGCTGAAATGATCGCGGTTCTTCTTACCGTTGTTCAGGAGGGATGCGCTTAACACTGTTGCTTAAATCGGAATGAAAAAATCCGTTCCACTCACCCTTCATCACATTAATCTTCCAAAATCCAGCCAAATTCCCATCGAAGTTTTCCCACGTGAGGAGATTTGGCTCGAATTCCGTCTCAAGGTATAGTTTGGCAGACTCCCCTAAGCACGAGTATCAAGCCTACTTCTCTAAAAAGCGCTCGTTCTGCTACCGACGCCGCCGAAATGCCCGAGGCCCAGAGTGCTAGTACCATATCTACTCGTCTTTCAAAGGGTACGTCCGCTACAAGCTTTGGCGGCAAACTATATGCGACGCTGGCGCCTGTTCCGTCGCCAGCAAGCACTGTCGCTTGGAGCGGAGGACCCATGCTCAAGGGTCAGACAATTTTTGAGGTCTCAAAAGTATGACTTGGATTGGAGTGTGGCTTGAGGCTCACGGAGCGAGGCATCAGGGGTGAATAGTTCCTAAATTCGGTTTTGTGGTGCTCCAACGTTAGCAGCGTATTTCGTTTCTTAATTTTTCTCTCTATTGTGGATTCTTCGCCCTAGTCCTTCTTTGATGGTAGCAACAAGGCACGTCCTGGCACCTGGGGAACTTTCGGAAAGTTACGCTCCCTGCCTCAAACATTTCGTCAACCAATTTTTCCCCAACTCCAACTTTTCCCCCAGATTTCACAATCGAGCAGAGGGGGGGGGGGAGAGGAGTATATAGCATACGTGAAAAGGAAAAATGCGCGAAACACCACCGGAATAGTTTTTCTCGATGCGGAAAAAGCCCACATATGCAAGTACAACTGCCCCCCCCCCTCACTTGGAATTCCTGAAGATACGACGTGCTTTGAGTGGTTAGATCTGGATAGTTTTCGAGGCGATGAATAGGGCCCCACTTCTTATTTCGATTTCCAGAAGCTAGGAATTTTCACGTGCACTACGCCCCTCAAGGGATGCCGTTGTGACCTATTGAGCTTCCCTCCATACTAACAAAGTGCCTATGAAAATTCAAAATTTCTTTGAATTTTTGTCGAATACTCTATTCAGGGACAGATTCAGGCGAAACAATTGGAGGCGCGTCAGCTTGAGCAGCAACGGCAAGAGCAAAGGTAGGTCTCCATTCGACGAAATGCTACAGAATTCAAAGAACGAGTTTCTTCACCCATACATTAAGTTCGATTTATAGGCTTCAACAAGAAAAACAGCGGCAAATTGAAGCTGCAAGGAAGCAGTTGCAGGAGCAAATCAAACACCATGACATCACCGCTGCGAACATCGACAAAAACACGATAGCTATGGTGGTAAGGCGCCTTTGTTTCATTCATTACTCGCTTTTTTTACAAGTTGTTCTTCTCTCAGCATCGAGTGGGAGAAATTAACCAGTCTTTGCAAACTGCTTCCTTGACTCAGTTGCAACGTCAACAGCTTTTGTTGGAGTATAGCAGCCAATCAGCCAAATGCTCGAGTGTAAGTTTCTGTTCGTTGTATCCATGAAATTCTATACATATAGCGCTTATCACTATATCTTTGCAGCTTCAAACGATGGCGCAGAACCATCGACTACAGAGGACCCAACTACAGAATCAGCTTGACGCTTTGAATGCCGGCAGTGGATCAGCAGCAGTTGTGGCCTCGATGTCCCTGGCGCCGTCCCCAATGGTAATGAGAACTCATGACACGTCTGTATTACTGGACGATGAACAACGTCTGAGGGAAGAAATTGAGAAGGTAGTGGAACCTATGATGCTCACGAAAAATGTTAGTCATCTTCCTCTTTTAGATCGACGAAGATATCCGGGGCATGGAGAAGCAGGTGCGACGGCTGGAGGAAGAGGAGCGAACATACCAGAAGAAGAAAATCGTTAGTTTTTCATACCAACTTTAATTTATACAGCCGATTCTCATCTCACAAGTTTTTTTTTCGGGATTTTGTAGTAGAGCTTGTGTCCTGCATCTGTACATCAAGTGATCGTAATTCGATCCTTCATGAGTCAGTTGTGCTACTCTGAGATCTTGAAGCACATCCACCTGAGACACACTCTTGATGTTATGGTTGTAATCAGGGCACGTTGTATGCGGATTAATCCTTAGGAAGAGAGGGAGCCGTGTTTGGTCGCTGGGGAAGGGGACGTATTCGGGCTCAAATATCCCCGGGACGTCCACTAGTTCATAGCGCAGCCAAAGTATGTACAACGTCTTTGCTAGTTGAATTTGGTAGTTGTTAGGTCTACGAGAAGGGGGGAGGGTGGTTCGTACCAGGGTAGCATGTTCGGGGGAGGGAGGGGGGGATCGAGTCCTGCAAAAATTTTCCCCAGCAACATAACGTACCTTGGTTGTAATAATCTGAAATGCGCTTCATAGTACTCAATCTCAAGGCTTGAAAATAAAGAACCTGAAAATAAAGAACCTAAGGTACTCAATAACTAAGGTACTCGACGACCTTTCGGCAGCATGTCATGAGAGCTTTGATCCGCCCCTTCTGACTTACTAGAAATGTTGTTTTCACTTGAAGGCAGAGCCAGTATTCAAAAATTATGAGTAATGGGGCTAAGGTATTAGTAACAAGGTAGCATGTGATTCAGTAGTGAAGAAAAAAACCAAAAAAATCATGGGAAATGCCGTGATTAAACGAGTTAAACGTGTGAGTCCTGATAGGCTACGGCATAAAAGCCGTTGAGCTGAGAGGGTAAAAGCGGCCCTGGTGGCGTAACGGATAGCGCACTCGCCCGGAAAGCGTGAGGTGCGGGTTCGACTCCCGCCTGGGGCACGACTTTTGCTCACAACTCAGCATTCTTGTGGTAGGAAATGCCACTTATAGGGCCCGAAGTGAGATTGTACAAGCATAGGCGAAGGAAGGGTGTGGTCGTACGAGTTCTCACTTGTTCGTGCCAGCTCCTCCTTATCAGCTCTCTCTACCATTAGAGACTAGCGAGCAACCGCGCCTACAACAGCTAGTTCTATAAGTAGTACAAACTATTTGAATTGTAAAAAAAAACTTTTTTGAATGGACTATTCATTCAGCAAGCTGAGCAAATGATCACATCTGCTTTCCGAATAAATTCAACCATGCAGGACTTTCAAGCAAAGCAGGAACTCAAAGAGGTATGTGGAAACTAATAGACTGGAGAGCCAGCTCGTTGTCATTCGAATACCGTTAAAAAGGAATTATGTGGAAAATCCGAATGAATTTAGGCACAGGACAATATGCGTGTTGTTGAACATTCGCGGCTCACGTTCCAAAAGAAGCTCGATAATTTGCGTGAGAAGTATGCTGCTTCATACTTACTGTGGTTTCATTCCATCATTCTAAGTCGATTCCTTTGAAATCATTTCAGTCGTGAGCTACTTATGAGACAACAACGAATGCTGTTGAATAGTGGCAGTACAAGTGGTGTTATTGTTGGTGGTTCTGGCGGCCTCAGTAAAGGAGTGGTGAAAGATTTCGCTCAATCGCAGCAACAGCAGCAACAACAGCAGCAAGCTGTTAAGGCGCCACAGGTAATCGTCGAGCTCGAGTGAATCAAATGCCCCCATTATTCAACTGTTTTCAGCCACCACCAACAACGTTATCGTTAGCAGCCCAAGCTCAAGCTCAACAGTTCCATCTGCAAATGCAGCAACAACAACACAAGAATCTCGGCATCGGCATTCGTCAACCAACGGCTGACTCAAAACCCGTGAATCTTTCACCATATC